CTATAATACATGCTATATGAGAAAATTTAGTGTACCTAATGGTAACTATGTGTGTATTGAGAAATGAACTAATCCAAAAGGACACAGAATATTAGATACCTAGAAATAACTATTAACTTTCTTTTGTAGGTATCCTTGGAACCAATCTAACATTGTATTATAAAGATTTATTGTTCAAAATACAAGGAAATCATATGGAATGGTAAGGTTAAAATCACATTTTCTTGGATAAAAGTGATACATGATTTATATTTCTTATTGATCATCTTCTTGTTAGCATTTTGTTTTCAAATGTTTATACATGATAATACCTACTTAAATATGATTTACTATATGTACATGGCCTTACAATATGACAAAACAAACAATTTTTCAAAAAAAAAATTGTGGTGTGGTAATCGATTACACGTGAATGGTAATATATTACTAGAACAAAATTTTATCCAATTTCCCGCTTTTTTTAGAATAGACCTAAATGGTAATTGATTACACCCATCATGTAATTGATTATCAATATGAAAATTTGATAATTAATTACCCACATATGATAATTGATTACCACTTGAAATAATGCATCTTTTCATATAAAAATCATTATTTTGAATGGAAAAACTTTGTAGAATTATTTCGAATTTGTGCATCTATTAATAGAGGTTTCTAAGGGTGCATATAAAAAATTAAACACCAGAAAATGAATTACCAACTTTTAAAATCAGATTTATAAGAATCAAATATCATTTTTAAAATGTTCTTCATTTTTAAAAAATAGTTTAAAACTATGTATACTTTCATAGACCAAAAAAAGTTTCAAAACCAAGAGCTAACACTGAGATTCGTGCTTTTTAAATATGATATAGTCCTTCTTGGAGAGTCGAAAAAGGATTTAAATGAGGTTGAGAACTTGGAGACGAGCTTTAGAAAGACATTATTTTTGCCTAAACAAAAGTACGACAGAGTATATGAAATGTAAGTTCAACATAAGTAGAAGTGTTTCTGACCTATATGTGAAAGTTTAATACCATATTATCCCTAAAACCACACGGTTTAAATATCTTGGATCCATAATAAAAAATTATGGAAAAATAGAAGGGGACAGAAATCATCAAATTCAAACTGAGTGGTTGAAATGGAGAAGGACATCAGGTGGTTTATGTGATGCAAATGTACCACTTAAGTTGAAGGAAAAGTTTTATTGAACTACAGTAATACCTATGATTTTGTACAAGATAAAATAGTAGAGGGTTAAGAATTAGCACGAGAATAAAGTGAAGGTAACAGAGATGATGATGTTGCAATGGATGTATTGTAAGACTCAACAAGATAAGATTAGAAATAAAAATATTAGAGAGAGTGTCAGAGTAATGTCTATAGTGGAGAAGATGGTGGAAAATAAACTTAGGTGGTTTGAACATGTAGAGAGAAAACCAATAGATTCTGGAGTAAGGAAGGTAAACCAGATGAGAGAAGGCAAACAATTAAGGGATATGAAATACCTAGAAGGACTGTCATAAAAGTTATTAAAAAAGATCTCGAAATTAATAGTTCAAATAGTTTGATAGAACATTATGACAAAAGTTGATCCATGTAGTCGATCCCATTTAGTGGGATAAGACTTAGTTGTTATTGTAGTAAAATTAATTACTATTTTTCCTATTTCTATGTAATATTTGATAGAGCTTGTTACCAACTTACTTATATATAACCATAAATAAATGAAATGAATATACCAAATTAATAACAAATATTTATTCTTTCCAAAATTATATTTCAATAATACCTATCTATTGTATGGAGTTCTAAAGTTAATCATTTGAATCCCTATTCTCACGACTTGAATTTTGTCGGATTAGTCCCAAAAATCCATTTTTCTGTCTCAGATTTTAGGAAAATATTCTCTTTAAAAATATAGTCATTTTTTCTCCTCATTCCTCTAATTTGAATACTGACATCACAATGTAGATTTTAATGGTGGTGGTGCGACGAAAATCATTATTGTTAAGATTCTACGCACAACCATGAATCTTCTAGCCTATGGTTTGGTTGTTTTGTCGTTAACACCGCCGATGTGTGTTATTCTTCTCTCACACACTATTGAATATGAGTTCAATTTCCATTTTGATTTCTTTTCTAAATTGTGTATTTATGTCATTTTCCATATTTGTGTTGTGTTTCTCGCGTTGTTAATGGACTATTTTTTAAAGTGTATAACTTCGTTTAGTATTATTTTGTATGATGAGTTTCTTCATCCTCAAATTCTCGCCTCAATTTGACCAGTCAGAAACGGCTGTGATTGCTTGTTACAACTAAAAGTGACAAACGAGCATGCTTGCCTCGTTAGTCTTTTCCTGTAAAAACCTCCACACAAAAAATAGAACATAACAAACATAATTGACAGTACATACCTAAATCTTAACCCATCTCGCGAAAAAATGAAGGTGGGGCGGACTTGGGAGTCTTACATTCCTAAAGATACTAAAAGTTAAATAATAAATTCTTATTAATGTTCGCGCTTGCAAAAGCCTGTAAAAAAACAAAAGGAACTGACATACTAGAAGGTGTAGGTTTAAAACCTTGACTTTACCCATAAAAAGTACAGATAAAACAAACATGTCTCGTATATAATGCAGTTTTGTCACCCTTAATTGTAGCTCGTTAGTAAAGTGTTAGATGTTAGGTAATGAATTAATTACATGCTGACAATCAAGATGACTCGTCATTTTTATAATTTAGAGTCAACTCACATCACAATTCGCTTGACGCTCATACCCAAATTCACTAAATTGTGTGGTTATTTGTGAATGGTATATCTTTGGATTTGAATTTGTTTGGTACTTTTGATGTTCTTATCTTTAGAATTGTAATTGCAATGTATTTTGATTTCACGAGTCAAACTTTGTCTCCTTAATAATATTTCTCTTTATTTACTTTTTTTGGTGCGACAAATTCTTAAAAAAAAGTTACAACTTGGTACTTACATTTCATTTTCTTAAAAAAAATATATTTACAACTTGACACATACTAGTTTATGATCTTCTTTTGGCTTCCCTCCTGTTCAATTTCTGAACATCAATGTTCAGATTTTCAATTTTATTTTATTTGTTTTCCTTTTACAACTTATGGGCCTTCATCTTAGAAACATCCTTCGTAAGGAGATTTTTTAATGCACCTTATATGTTTCTTATGCATTATGCGAAAATATTAAAATATCTTCTAATTTTTGGAGATGCATCTCTAGACACACCCGATACACAGTCAACACAGACCATTATGAATGGTGCCTTATAAGTTGAATTTTGTTAATTTCAGAGATGCGTCTTAAATTTTTTTCAAGAAATGTATTCAGAATTGATTAGCTTAATAGAAATTTCTGAGATGCATCTTAGGAAGTTTGGATGAAATTTTGAAATTTGTTATCACCTTTGCATGTCAGGTATTTTCGGAGATGCATCTCTAAAATAATCTGATAAAATACACACTTGCATGATCACACAACCATTGTTTTTCTCTACAAACCCTCACCAAAAACCCTTCCATTCTCAATCCACCTTTTCACTCCAAATCTTCAATCTTGCGGTTCTTCATATCAAAGGTAACAAAAGAAGTTATAGTTTCAAATAAAGATCATTTATTTCACACTGCATTGCTCACATTAATTCCATTTATTTATTTTTTTAAAAAGGGGCATTTTTTTTCTCTAGAAATGTATCTCCAAAACGAGTATGAAATTTTTCAGAGATGCATTTTCGATAGCAGTCTGTGTTCATTTTCCAGTTCTGTTTTCAACAATAGTGTTTATCTACTGTTATGTGAAATTGTTTTCATTAGATATGGTGCACTTCATTGTTTTTTCCAAACAAGTTGTTTCTCTAAATATTAAAGGTGTTGTGAATACGATAGATGATAATCAATTTAAAAACGAGCAAGAGTTTGAATCTCTTGACCAAATGCTTCAACGAATTTGTATGAAAATCTCTAAACTCGAATTTATGGTGATTATCAAAAAGTCCGATAATAGTTCAGATAAAAAAAACGCTTTTGTGACAATGATGTACAAAAAAAGTGGAAAATATATCTCTAAAATTTTAAAAAAGACAACACCAATTAAAAAAAATGTTGATGTCCCTTTAAGATGCATGATTAAATGTTAACAAACAAAAATTAATGATTTAATATCATATGCAATTTTCATAATCATATGAGGTCACCGAGTACACCTCTCTCGTAGATATTAAATATAAAATTCATAATTTTCTAACTTACAGAGACAGTCGAAAGATTGTGAAACTCGAGTATCGTCGATTGACAACAGAGAAAAGATTGAATTCAACAACTTTGAGTTAAAAACAAATGCAGATTAAGCGAGAATTCAACAACTTTGAGTTAAAAACAAATGCAGATTAAGCGATACATTTGAAATAAAAATTCCGCGTGTTAGAAGTGACTATTTCAAAATTGATAAAAAATATTCACCAAAATATTGAAATTGAAATGTAATGCGTTATGTATATTTGTTTTATTATATTATATGAATGTTAATTTAATTTTTAAAATTACATGTTTTTGTTTTTTCTGTCTGCGTCTGACCTGTATTGAATGTATATCAATTGCGTTTCGAAATTCGAAACTGAAATGCATATCGGACACAAACTTGTTCAACAAGAGAGTTCAAATTATAGCTATATTTTTCGGATGCTCTCTTTCTAATACAACCTTATATCCACGTCAAAAAGAATGAATTACAAGAACGTGTGCACTGCAATATGTTAACTAGTACTACCATTTACACTTGTTTATTTGCAACTCTACCCTATATAGCAGAAATTCCAAAACAATTACAGTCCTTAATGCGCAAAAATTTCGATATGATTATTTAACCAGCGTGATCCAATTCTCCAAAAACATTACATACCAAAATAAGCGACCATATACTCCTACTAAACTAAAAAACAACTCATCTTAAAACAATTATCTAAGGAACCATAAAAACCGCTTTGAGTATATCATTTCTTCACCTCTTCATATTCGGCTTCTGGTGCTTGATCCCCACTTTGAGAACCACCAGCTGAGGGACCGCCACTAGAACCACCTGACATGTGCTCTCCAATCTTGGAGACGGCTTTGTTTGCCGCATCAAGCTTAGACTTAATTTCGTCTATGTTTTCCCCTGACATGGCACTTCTCAAATCTGAAATTGCATCCTCAATTTCTTTGGCCACTTCACTAGGAATCTTCTCTCTATATTCACCTAAGCTCTTCTCAATGCTATAGATGGAAGTATCTGCACTGTTTTTAATATCGATAAGAGCCTTTCTTTCTTGATCTTTTTGAGCATGTAACTCTGCTTCTTTCACCATCTTGTCAATCTCATCATCTGAAAGTCCACCAGACGACCTAATAGTGATTTGTTGTTCTTTACCGGTGGACTTGTCTTTGGCCGACACGGTAACAATACCGTTGGCATCAATGTCAAAAGTGACCTCAATCTGAGGCATGCCTCTTGGAGAAGGAGGAATGCCAACAAGCTCAAACTCTCCAAGCATTTTGTTGTCAGTAGCCATTTCCCGCTCACCTTGTAACACCTTGATACCTACTTGTGTCTGATTATCAGCTGCTGTTGAAAAGACCTGGAACCACAACAAAAATACAGATTCATTGTCCAATTATTTTGGAAAAACTGAATACTGTTTTAAAGAAAATACTATTTAACAATCATCAGTAGATTTAAGGATTACCTGACTCTTTTTTGTAGGAATAGTAGTGTTACGGTTGATTAACCTTGTAAAAATACCACCCAAAGTCTCAATACCCAGAGAAAGTGGTGTTACATCCAAAAGTAGTAGCTCTTTAACATCTCCACGTAGGATACCTCCCTGAAGTGCTGCTCCCATTGCAACTGCCTCATCAGGATTTACTCCTTTACTGGGAGGCTTTCCAAATATCGCTGAAACCACCTCTTGGACTTTAGGCACACGGGTCATCCCTCCAACAAGAAGAACCTCGTCAATATCCTTGACAGATATGTCTGCATCCTTCAAACAGCTCTGACATGGAGCCCTAGTCCTTTCAATCAAGTTATTTACTAGAGCCTCAAACTTAGATCTAGTCAATGTGATGTTCAGATGCTTAGCACCAGATGCATCAGCAGTGATGAAAGGCAGGTTTATCTCTGTCTGAGATGTTGAAGACAGTTCTATCTTTGCTTTCTCAGCAGCTTCGCGAAGCCTTTGCAGCGCAAGCCTGTCCTTAGAAAGGTCAATACTCTCAGTCCTCTTGAATTCACTCACCAAAAACTCCAGCAAGGCATTATCAAAGTCCTCTCCTCCCAAGAAAGTGTCACCATTTGTTGCTTTCACCTTGATATGAAAAATGTTATCAGTACAAACAAGCTTCTCATACTATTACTTCCTGACAGGCAAAGAAAAGATGATGGAATAATTAAAGGCATACCTCAAAAACACCATTAGAAATTTCTAAGATGGAAACATCAAATGTACCACCACCAAGGTCAAAAACAGCAATGAGACCCTCCTTGTTGTTCATTCCATATGAAAGTGCTGCAGCAGTGGGCTCGTTGATGATTCTTTGCACATCAAGACCTGCAATTCTACCAGCGTCTTTTGTTGCCTGCCTTTGAGCATCATTGAAGTAAGCTGGAACAGTAACTACAGCCTTAGAAACTGTCTTTCCAAGATAAGATTCTGCAGTTTCCTTCATCTTGGTGAGAACAAAGGCACCAATTTGGCTAGGGGAATATTGTTGCCCGTTAGCTTCAACCCATGCATCTCCATTGGGAGCCTTAACAATCTTGAATGGAACCATTTTCATCTCTTTTTGTGTTTGAGCATCATCGAAGCGCCTACCAATCAGACGCTTGATACCAAATAGTGTGTTTGTTGGGTTAGTTACAGCCTGACGCTTGGCAGGTGTACCTACAAGCAGCTCCCCTTTCTGGTTGAAGGCAACCACGGATGGTGTAGTTCGGGCACCTTCAGAATTCTCAATGACTTTTGGATTCTGAAATCACATAAACAAAGTCAACACAAATCTCATCAATAGAAAATCAGAACACATACAAGCAAACTCAAAGCAATAATGACTTGCCTTTCCTTCCATAACAGAAACACACGAATTAGTTGTACCCAAATCAATACCAATGACATCATTTCCAGCAGGCCTTGAACTGCAGAACAAAAAGAGATATGATAAGTAATTCTGATATAAGTTTGAAAACGTGGCTTCTTTAAGAGAATTACACTTTACAAACAAACCAAAACAACAAAAATCACCTGAATGGTCGAGACAAACTTGACCAACTGTGACTTACATATGCAGGCTTAGTGCTGCCGTTTGTTAACTGCAAGACAAGGTCATAGTAAGAAAAAGCTTCCTTCAGAATAATCAGGAACACACTTCATAGGACAAATCAACTAATTACAATTCCATACACACACCATAATATCAAACAATTGTTCGCATATTTTATCAAGGCCCCAAATTAAAAATAAAATAAAATTATGTAGCTTAGGCTAGAAACGCAATTGTATATATGTGCAGGCAAAAGGCAATTCCAATACTGCAAGATAGAAAGCCTTACATTGACTGTATAGTTGGCCAACAACCAAGGCGGTTAGCACAAAAACACACTAATTTCTGAAACAAACATAGCTTCTTATGCAAGTACTTTAGCACAAAAATACTAATAGAAAACCAGCTTCTAACATAAAGAAGCAAATTCAAAGATCTACACCACAAAATTGGGAGTATATTTCAATTATATCCAATATCAACAGATACAAAATTAAAAAACTAAAATAAAAATCAACAACAAAAATACTTATATCCTATTACAGAACCAGCTTCAAAAGATTAAAATTCAAAGATCTACGATATAAATAAAGTCCTGAACAGAATCGAATAATAAACCTTCAAAAACAGTATAATAATAAACAAACCTGACACGGAAAAATCAAAGGTGAAAATCAAGCACAGAGAAGAGTTCAAGAGACGTTACCGAACGAAAGGCGGAGTAGGTAGAAGAAGCGACATCTCGGCGGCGGAAAGAGCGGAGCAAGGCGGTGGCGGCAGCCATGGCCAGAAGATGTTGTGTATTGTTTGAATTGAAAAATGAAATGGAGTGAAAAAGAGGAGAGAAATGGGGTTTTTATTTATAGCAGGGTTTAGTTAGGGTTTTTGGAGATTTAGAAATGGAAAAGTGAATAGTGTGTTATGTTCTTAACGACGTGCCCAGATTATTCTAGTTCTTCTGCTTACCAAACAGAGCTAGAGAAGGTTCTAGATCGATTACTAAATGCTAAACGGTGTCGTGTCGCCAGACTAATGGATTATCATCACAAATTTAAAAACTTTCTTGTACTCGTAAAAAGGAAATACTCTTATCTTTTTAAATATAATTTTGTCTTAAACTCAGTGTTAATCCCTCAATTTTATTTTATTTAAAATTTAATCTTTTTTTAGATTAGATTTTTAATCTCTATTTATATTCTCTTTATAGGTTTTTTTCTTCTTGTCTTCCATCTCATTTAAGTGTCAATGATGTGACAAAACAATTGATAATGTTAGTTGTATTAAAAAATATTCACATTATTTAAAACTATTAATTATTTTTATTAATAGCGTTAAAATATTAGATTAAATTAAATTTGATTAGATTTAATATAATTTAAATTGTATTAATCCAAGGTCAATTAAAGTTGTATATAAATAGTCATAGTATGTACTATTATTTGTAACAATTCATTCGATAATATCAATCCTTATTTTTTTTATTCTCTCTTTTTCTCTTCACTAAAAGTGGCTCACGCACTAACGAATTGGTATCTAGAGCTTCTGTTAGATTCTTGATCGTGTTTTCAAGAATCACACGTCAGAGATCATGTTTCTAGGATCGTGGATTATTGTTGATCAATCACTGCAAAGATGAATGGTAATAGAAATTTATCAAACTCCCTTCTAACTCTTGACGACAAGAATTGACTTCGATGGAGAAAACAGATGCAAACTCTATTTGACTTTCATGAAACCCTATAAGTGGTTATTAATGGCGTTTCTGCGCTTGGTAAAGATGCAACCTGAGCTAGAGAACCGCTCACAAGGATGCATAGAAGAAGGATTGCAAGGTGGCGTTCTACATCCAATCGGCGGTTGATGCGACTAATTTCGACAGAATCGCTCATGCTAAATCGGCGAAAGAGGCGTGGGATATTCTTGTCAAGTACTATGAAGGAGGCGAGAAAGTTAAGATTGTCAAGTTGCAAACTTTACAACGACAATATGAATTATTGTCAATGGGAGAAGATGAAAAGGTTGTAGGCTATGTATCGAAGGTGCAGAAACTCGTCCATCTCATGAAGGGATGTGGTAAAACCCTAACTGATAAGATGATAGTTGAGAAGGTAATGTGTACTTTGACCTCTCACTTTGATCACATTATCGTAGTTATTCAAGAATTCAACAATCTTGAAACCCTAAAACTAGAAGATTTGGTTGGTTCGTCGGAAGCGCATGAGATTAGGATTTTCGAAAGGAAAAGAGTTCAAGACTCAATACAAGCACTACAGGCGCAATCGTGGAAGAAGAATGGTGGTTCCAACAATTTCAAAGGCAAAATCGACAAGACTTAAGGCAAGAAGTCTTGGTCGAATCCTCACAAGAATAAGATTGATGATAGAACTTCTGAATCCTCGAAAAGAGGAGAAGGAAATTCCTATCAGAAAGACATAGTAGAGAAAAAAGGTGTGCAGTGTTATAATCGTAAAAAGTATGGTCACTTGGCCAAGCATTGTTGGTACAGGAAAGACAAGGGTTCAGCAAAAGGCAAGGACGAAAGAGCAATTCTTGCATGTCAAGATTTCGGTGATTCTAATGATACGATGGTTATGGCTACAGTTGCAGATGACCATGTCAAATCCAAGATTTGGTTCTTCGACTCAGGCTGTTCGAATCACATGACTGGTAAAAAAACATGGTTAGTAGATTTTGACGAGTCGAAGAATAGTAAGGTAGAACTTGCTGATAATAGCTTGTTGCCAGCAGAAGGTACTGGCAAAATAGTTATTCAAATGAGTAATGGAGCAAACGCCTTGATCAAAGATGTACTCCATGTCCCTTGAATGAAGTGCAATCTGCTAAGTGTTAGACAACTAGTCGAAAAGGGGTTCTTAGTGGTTATGAAAGATGGAGCCTTATAACTTTTCAACATCCAGAATAACTTGGTCTTGAAATTTTCTTTGTCAAAGAATAGAACATTTAAGACTATGATCAGTTCGACTGAGGTACAACGTCTGAAAACAATTGTCAACCACAAGAATAATTGGTTGTGTCCTTTAAGGTTTGGCCATCTGAACTTTAGGTTGCTAAATCAACCAATCACTCAAGATATAGTAATTGGTATACCAAGTCTTGAGATGCCCGATAAACTCTATGAAGGTTGTCTAGTCGGGAAGCAGTCCAAGAAGTCTTTCGTTTCGACTATGCCTATGGGATCATCATGTACACTCGAAGTTGTACATTCAGATGTATGTGGTCCTTTTGAAGAGCATATCATTGGTTGAAACAAGTATTTCGTCTCATTTATCGATGACTACAGTCGAAAGCTCTAGATTTATGTGATCAAACGAAAGGATGAAGTATTTGAAATCTTTAAGAGATTCAAGATACTTGTTGAAAACCAGGGTGAAAAAAAATTAAAGTTCTACGAACAGATGGAGGTGGTGAATACACATCCAAGATATTTAAAGCATTCTATCCAGAACATGGTATTGGTCATGAGATAACTGCTCCTTAAACTCCTCAACATAATAGGATAGCAGAAAGGAGAAAGAGGATCATATTGGACATGGCGAGATGCATGTTGAAGCAGAAGAATTTGCCAAAATTCTTATGGGGTGAAGCTGTTTTGATTATTGTTTATATTCTGAACATGTGCCATACCAAGAAGCTGAAGAACAAGGTTCCTGAAGAAGTATGGAGTGGCAAATGATAATCAGTGAGTCATCTGAAGGTGTTTGACTCTATTTGCTATAAGAGTGAACCTAAGATTCTGGTAGGATATCATAAGACTGGAGCATATAGGTTGTTCAATCCAATTAATCAGAAGATTGTGATGATAGAGACATTGTGATTGATGAAAATTTTGTCTGGGATTGGAATTCTAGTAATGCAATTGACAAGCCATTTATGAGTTATGATTTCGAAGAAGCAAGTAATGATGTAGAAGTCGAAGACATTGTTGAGACTCTGGTTGAAGAAGAAGTCGAAGCAGTTGCTGACATTCTCAACACAATCGAAGTCAAAGAGGATATGGCTGGCACAAGTCAGAGACCTCAAAGAACTAGAGCTCGTCCAGTAAGACTTCAAGACTATGAAGTGGTTGGTGATTATTAAGTCACAATAGATGGGGAACTAATCCATTTTCTTTACTTGCAGGTGCTGAACCAATCAACTATAGTGAAGCCTTCAAAGGTAAACAATAGAAGTCCGTTATGGTCGAAGAGTTACAAGCAATCAAAGAAATAACACATAGGAGTTGGTCAAATTGTCAGCTCATACAAAAGTTATCGAAGTAAAGTGGGTGTTCAAGTTGAAGCACAATGCTGATGGGTCGATAGCAAGGCATAAGGCAAGATTGGTAGCTCGAGGATTTATCTAGAGAGCAGGACTCGACTAATCTGAAGATTTACACCTAGCGCAAGATTGGAAATTGTTCGACTAGTGGTGGCCTTGGCATGCAAGCAAGGCTGGTCAACATTTCACTTAGATGTGAAATCAAATTTTTTGAATGGACCTTTAGAAGAAGAGGTATATGTCACACAACCTCCTGGGTTTATGATTCAGGAGGAAGCAGGTAAAGTATACAAGTTGCACAAAGCACTCTATGGTCTCAAGCAGGCACCTAGGGCATGGAACAAGAAGATCGACTCATACTTGGTTAAATTGGGATTCGTAAAATGCAAATATGAGTATGGTGTATATGTTCAAGTTGTGGCAAAAGATATAACAATAATCTGCTTATATGTCGATGACTTTCTAGTAACTAGAAATAGCCTGAAGAACTTGTCGAAGTTCAAAGAGCTAATAAAGAAGGAATTTGAAATGTCGAATCTCGGAAAGTTGTCATACTTCCTAGGCATGGAGTTTTAAATGTCGAAGCAAGGCATGGTGCTACATCAAAGAAAGTATATCAAAGAGATACTCAAGAGATTCAGAGTAGATTATTCGACTCATGCATCTTCACCAATCGAACCAAATTTAAAGTTGGAGAAGCATGAAAAGGAAGACAAAGTTGATGCAACTTTGTTCAAACAAATTTTCAGATCTCTAAGATATGTGTGCAACAATCGACCTGATATATATTTCTTAGTCGGATTAGTGAGCAGATACATGAGTGAATCAAGGGTGTCACACATGAAGGCTACAAGAAGAATCCTGAGATACTTAAAAGGATCGACAAACTGTGGAATTTTATTTCGACGAGAGTCTGAAAGCAAAGAAGCTATAATTACTTGTTATTCAGATTCTAACTGGTGCAGAGATAAGGAAGACCTAAGAAGCACTACTGGATATTTCTTTAAAGTATTTGGTGCCCCAATTTCATGGTGCTCGAGAAAGCAACCTATGATGGCATTATCATCATGTGAACCTGAATATATAGCAGGATCCTATGCTGCTTGTCAAGAAATTTAGATCAGATATGTGCTTGAAGAAATGGAGGTAGAAGTGAAGAAACCTCTGGTACTACAGATCGACAACAAGTCAGCCATAAATCTAGCGAAGAATCCAGTTTTGCATGGAAGAAGTAAGCATATCGAAGCTAGATTTCACTTCTTAATGGAAAAGGTAAATCGAGGTGAACTTGAAGTTAGACACTGCTCAAGTGAAACACATTTGGCCAACATTTTCACCAAAGGATTGAAGATCGACATATTCCTGAATTTGAGAAAGAAATTAGGAATAATTCATATTGACTATGATTAACATAAGTTCGACAACTTGAATTATATGGGGTATGTTGAAATATTAGATTATATTATATTAGATTTGATTAAATTTAATATAATCTAAGTTGTATTA